CCTGCTGGAATACAATGCCCATTGAGGCGGAACATTGTCGCCGAACACCGACTTAGATTCCATGCTTTCAGAAGGTTTTAAATACAAATCGGTTCTGGTAGGGTTTTATTGTGGCATCGTTTCGCCCTTGACACAAGAGCTCCTTCAGTCCTTTCCTTTTCCTTTATATATTGTGGCACAGTAGCTGAGGTGTTTCCCACCTCTATCTGACGTGTATAATGATGATGTTGTCTGTGAAGCATTGCTGGTCTCTGATCGTACCAGCATGTCCACAACGATGATGTGCATAGGCGAGTACTAGGTAGTAATAATCATGCTATCTCCCTATAACAACAGAAGCACTGAGTAAGTTGCGTTGGCTCGTGCACGTGCTACGTATTCCTGGTCACCGCTTACCTAGGAGGGCCTCGTTTAGTCTACTAGGTGCAGGGTGGCTCAAGGCTCGAGGTGGACAGAAATTGACTTGGCAGCGGGAAATAAAGTCACTGACGACCCAATTGGGTGCCGCTGGTTCTTCTCGCCTTCCGGGCTGGAGTCAACGTGACTCGCCTTGTGTTTGGCTCGAGACTTTACAGGACATGGCTCGAAGTAGACACCAGTGGCGCGTCTGCTGCCTTCTCCTAATCGGATTGCCTGTTTAAAGTGTGTTTGATGCTGAGTTGTCTGCGGGGTAATGGCTGATTATCACGCGTGGCAGTGAAAGCCACAAAGAAGCTGTCTCTCCGATGTCACCTTAGGTTTGCGCGATAGCCAGCTGTTTGTGATGGTACGTTTTTGACACAAAGGTGTAGACGCCTTGACCCTGAATGTTTGCTTAGGGAATTAAGGTTTTCAGCTAAGTCACCCTTCTCTCCCTCTTCTTATTCTTTATTTCATAGGTCATCGTGGTTGTATGGCACCGAAGCATCAGTTGAAATGTCTGATGTACTGCTGTCGATGGTGATTATGCGTGACCACTCCGTGGGTGCGTCCAACTTGCTATATTACTTCCACTCAGTGCAAACCGAGTGTTCTTGATCATCAAGCCGTTAGTGGCACACAGTGAGAGCAGCCTGTCACCGTTCGCATTCCCTGAACTAATGGCATACGGACCTATGACATGTGTCTACACCGATGCATCACGCCCAACGCGCGCGTTGAAATCACCCAGAGGAAATAGTCGGTTGCTCCTCGGCACAGACCGTATCACGGAGGATACTGGAGTGTAGAACAGATCGCGCGTGTTATCAAGACAGCACAAAGTCGAACCATACGTGCTATTAAAAGTGGCAAAGTTACTTCTCCCGAGTAGCAGGCGAACAGTCAACAGTCGCGCGATGATATCAGTTGGTTCACCCAGCAGCTGATCATGGGGGCGATCAGATATTGCCAATCCGACCCAATGTTCATGTGGCGCTGAGGTGGCGTTCCCCACCCAGTAGAACGTGTACTCCGCACCAGCTTCATGCAACTTACCTAGCTCAGCGTGGCGCGTCTCGCTGAGCGCCGTAATATGGAGGTTGTAGCGCGCCACTTCCATCGCAACCAGTGCAGTGCGTCGCTGGGGGCGCTCATTGGAGTTCCTTTGTATATATGTTGTTGCAAACCCAGGAGCAAATTGTCCTCAGGCACCCCTGGTCGGAGGCCGACAGCCGGCGCATCCCAACTACGATAACTGGATGTGACTCACTGCGAGATAGCGACACCGCCCATATAGTGGCATTGTAAATACAATCCTTTACTTCGTGGAAGGCTTCCTAACGCCGCCAAAGGTGTTGCAGGTTCGCAGGCGATGACCGGGCTTTGGCGATCCGGAAAGAAATTTCCTCGCTGATAACGCCACTAGCACACACGCAGCTGCTCAAGTGTACAAAACTACGTGCTTTTAAGAGTGTACACGGGAACGATCGAGTGCCTATTCTGGAGCCGCTCTTTGCATTTCGACGGAGCAAAGCACATTACGTACTTAAATGCCTTAATCGTCAAACGGTTTAGCATAGTTTGCATACTTTGGAGTCGTCACCAAGTAGTGCGATATCCTCGGCATAACCTAAATCGGTTGGTCACTTAACCAGTAATAGTTGCAGACCAAAATCTTGGCAGCCGTCCAGAGCTCTCGACAGGACTTCCTCAGTCGTAAAATGTAGATGGACGGAGACATAGGGCAGCTTTGTCGTACACAGCTATTGACAGCGTAGAGCGAAGAAAGCTTGTTATATACCCTCACACCGCCGGAGACGTGGAGGTAAAGTGCGCCAGGATGGCGGTGTAGTTTCCTGGGACCCCGTTTCTTAGTGAGCAAACCCACGGAGCATGTCGACACGAATGTCTAAGAATGCAAACATGGTAGGCCCATAATAAAGGGGGCGAGATTCGAGGATTTGGCGGAGAGTGAAGGTTTGATGCACGCATCAACGGCCAGTTCGGAAGCCAACCTGTTCCTCCCTGTACTGGGTTTCACGAATCCTGGATAGTCTACGAAGTTGAATAGATGCGAATAGCCTGGAGTCAACCGAAATGAGTTTGATTCTCTGTTGCTTGGCGCACAAAGTGCTCCTTAAAAATAGGGACAATAACTGACACGCCCAAGAAGGAAGGTAACTTTTTTCACGCCATTTTTTGTAACATGGAGGTTAGTTGGCTGGTGATAATCCGCTACACTATTTGAACAGCTCAGGAGGAAGTCTGTCTGGGCCGGTAGTCTTGAATCGCTTTACACACCAAATCTCAAGACAAACTTCCGCTTCACTGGGTGGGTCAGGCGTAACGATCCAGGGCGGGTAGCTGCATTCGTAGGGTATAAAATTGGGGAAGTTGAATGATATAAAGAGTAATTCATCACACCTAGGCTCAGTCAGACAGCCATCACACGCCTGGAAAAGTGCTCTACGGTCGTTTCATCCTTTCAATTATCGTTAGCAGTGCGCGTTCCATCTGACATATGTGGAGTCTGAACCCACAATCCGACTGATACCAGCCTGTGGTTTAGATTGTTGAGCTTTAGAGGGTGGTGTCGACCACCGTGATTACATTACTGTCCAGTGACGCACGTTACTGCCGGGCAGAGGGCAAGGGAACCCCTTTTTGACTAAGCCTACTTGTGATTAATCTCTACTTAGACACCATTTACATGCAAAGTTTCGTTTATCCAGTGTCCGATGCTCGTCATGATTAGATAGACGATGGTTCTCTTCAGCTGCGCACAGCAGTCGGATGCGAGCGTTTACTTTGGGTTATGTGACCAAAATCAAAGAAAGCGCGCACATCACCATAAGCTGCAGATTGCTCATTTTAGTACAATGTTTGTTATTAAGCTATATTGCGTGTCGCCGCGGTTCTGTGCATGTCTTCATGTGTATTCACAAAATGCTCACTGTTTGGATCGGTGAAGTGTCCACTTTAGAATGTGCTCCTTGCAAATTACATTCGAATTCTGTAAAACTTTCATGACAATGTGAATTGCAACGTCAAAAGTCAATGAAGCATGAGGTGAACGAACGGAATGTCTGCTGGGGCTGTCTAAGTTTCGCGATGCGCAAAGCAATTGCGGTCACATCTGACGGGAATGGCACATATGGTGGGAACACCGGGTGAGCATCGAGCGTGTTCGACGCCTTGTTTACGGTACAGGAAAAGGAACTGAACCGCTCAGCACCATCAGTTCACGCACCAGGCTCCGATGGCTGGGCCACGTGTTACGCATGCCAGCCCACCGACTTCTACGGCGTGCGTTGTTTGTTCGCCGGGAGTGTGGGTGGAAGAAGAGGAGGGGTGACCAAGCGATGACTTGGTCGAGAGGAAGGAAGGCCCTCACTTCGAAGCTGTCCTCGGTTGGAGCTTCACGGCTCGCTGGTTGGGTTCCGGAAGACGATGAACACGTTTGGCTAGAAGCCGACCTCAGTGGCTTTCATGCTCTGAGTTTCTTTGTCCCTCCCCATCCCTTTTAGCCTCCCCCTCCAACCACGTTCTCATTTCGTAGCGTAATATAAGCTTAAATAATTATTTTGCTTGTTGCCTCGTAGCCGGCCTGTGGCTTTCGGGAACGATGCCCATCCGTTGCTGGTAGCTCAGCTGGCACGCAACTGTTGTATTTATTTTCTTTTTTCTTTTACGCATTGCGGCACAGTAGCTAAGATGCTTTGCCCCTAGGCTGACGTGTATAATGATAATAGGGAGGTTTCATTTCGAAGTGTCAGGTGTCAGAACTGCGCTTGGTTCGCCTGGCAGACCTTGGTTGAGGAACGGTTGTGAAGCATTAGTGACTGATTGTCGTACTGTTTGGCAACAGTTGATGCAAGTGGAAGTGCCCTCCAAATGACCATCATTCCCATCTTTACAGTGGTGAAAAGGACTTCACGTGGAAGGCTTAAGAGTGTCAGCCTTATTGCAATTGCCTCCAAAGTGTAACACACTGATCCTCGTTCGAAACGGATAGTGAGGTTATATTTACCATACGGTTGCTCATCGTCAGATGCTCGAAAGTCATTGTTCATACAAGTAGCACATTATTGCTATTTCTTTTGACTCGAAGACTGCCTGTGATCTGGTGGATCAGATCTGTTTGCAGTTTGCTTATTTTACAGGATGAGCATGCAAAACATTTTATTCGATAGGCGCAATAATCATATTTTCGAGGCTGTGGGAAGAGAAGCAGAAAATTTTCCGTTGATTACAACGGACTGCCTCAAAGCTGCGCTTTCTTTCAACTATCGTGGTGTTTACGTAGCAGCGTAGCGTCGGTACAGTGTGCTGACGTGCTGCTGATGCCATGGTTTTACACTTATTCTCCAGAATGCATCTCAAAATTATGACCAAATGGAAATTCGTCATAAACATCTAAAACAGATTCCGATCAGAAGTATAGGCACAAGAATACGGGGTATTTGCTTCAAACAAAACATAAAGGCCAATGAAAAGAACTACGCAAGTAATTCAAATATTCCTAATAAAAACGGTACATAACTTCGTGTACGTTTTTCATATGCAGTTGTTGAGAAGTAATGAATTGGTACGGGAAAGAACTACCGTACTTGTTGCTTCGGAAGCTCCTGGAAGTATCTCAACAGCTGTCCATTTTGAACGGCATGATCCTTATCATGGGATGAACTTTTTGTAATTATTTTTTCAACTTCTTGTCTGTTCCTACGGATTTCATCTAACCTGTGAGACAAGAACTCCAAGCTAGCCTAAAACGGTAAAAATTAGTGGCACTAGGGTCCAATACAAACCTCATTCTCGGCTATAGCTTTTTCAGAAGATTTTCTTATGCTTTCCAGCTCATCCTTGCAATCTTCATAAGCTGATTGAGCAATATAAAGCTTTTGCTCCCACGTCAGTCTATGAGGTAGTTCAATAGAGGGAACTTTGCTCTTTATTTTCCTTTTGTAAGCTAATTCTGTGGCCTCTGAGTTAGAAACCGGAAACACCTGAGTGCATCAAGAGGAAATACAAGATGTCTGGACTAACCAACGGGGTAATATCGTTTTTTTGAATATATCCTTGCAAGATGGAGTTTTCATGCTTTATAAACTCGATTAATTCGCTAATCCGTCATAATCATAAGATTGAAGTACTTCTTTTGGTGGATTGCTTTCTCTAAGTCGCTGGGACTTAAATTCTCTTGGTTTTCATCCATTAAATTTGCTTTCTACTTGCCGTTCATCGGGTGGGCAGAGTGATCTAAAAGACACAATGAAATGAAATTAATGCCAGTAAACAACGCTAGCACTAAATAGAAGTGGGATAAGATACAACGCAACCCAACAATCATAGCAACAGTTCTAAGGGAGGGTTATGAAAGTACTGGAAGCGGAGGAACCCGTACATCAATCATAATGCAGGGGTGGATTAATTGCATAGAGCTAAGAAAACAGTGGGAAATCAAACCCTTTACGAAAACACGGAGACAAGTTAGAATTATGTTCATTCGAGAGTTCATTTGAAAGAGAGGGGCGGTGTTATGGGCCCGTCAAATATCCTCGCAAAAACGCGCCAGAAACCCCGGCACAATGACTGTCGAAAGCGGGGTCCGATTTCTCCTCACAACGAGACGCGGCCCAACTGCGCACCTGCTGTCAATGTTCTTCTACAAACTACGACCCCGTCGTGGGAGCTAATTTCCCTAACTTAATGACCCATAGCATTGGCTGTGATTTGTCCTTTGTTGGTCGTAAAAGAGCCTTCAGAGGACCACTTATCTTTCTTCCTCTTCTCCTCAGTGGGAATTCGGTCGGTTTACGTGATTTTGTGTGCATCGTTAGCCAGGCAGCTTTCGCGTCTAAATCACTAACGCGCGTCCACCGTAACCCCCTCACGTGTGCTTCCGTTCCGAGAGCTCAGCGTCTACCCGAATACGTGCGGCTAGGATCGTTCTCACGCGCGATCAATTTCCGTCTCACGAGCGCGTACCCCAGGCTAAGCTACGCCATCAGGTCAGCGCGAATCCGTTCGATTGGTCAGCGTTCCAGGCCGTTACAGTACGCGTGCTCCAACCGTGCAAGGGACAACCTTATCAGGCATCTACGCAATCATAACAGAGGCGTTTCCCTCAATTATAACAGGCGGTAACTTTACATCGGAGGATGGCAGGCATAAGACGTGGCTAAGGCAGATGCGTTGCTGTGCGTTTTTCGAAGCTCGCATTGTGCGAATGTTTGGCGTTCTCATCCCTCACAAGCACATGATCAAATGGGGATTGTAATGCCCGAAACTTCCCTGGATACCCAGGAGTTCTTTGATGTAGATGAATTTAGCTACTTTGGCAGCTGTGTCACCACTTACGGAATCTAGACAAATAGATGTAGATACAGATGAATGATATATTTCTCGACTTCGCGAAACATAGACCGATTATGTGGCCCGACCATTGTGTGCATAATCAAATAGTGGAGAAAGCTAACCGACTTTTTATGGTCCCAACTGATTGTTAGGAGTTTTTCATCGTCCAAAAGTAGTAAAAGTTGGAGGATTTGCGAGTAGGAATAAATGCGGGGATAACCAGCAGTTCGAGTTATGCGGTCATCTATGCAGCCGTCTCCTGGAGACCTGCTTGCATGCAGGGTATTCCCTCAAAAAATTTCATCCGTTCTTCCACGTCTCACCTGGCCATGTGCGGACGTCGCTTCTAACAATTAAGCTGTCTTCATTTCGACTCGTATTGTTTGCTTGTTGTTACATGCAACTAGGTTGTCCGCACGTCGACTCCTTTTTGTTCGTGACGCCGTTATGATCATTTGGGCCGTCCTCAAGTTGACGTTTTTTATGACCTCTGTTTTATACAATCATGTCATCACATTGACTCAAGTCTTTTTCGGTGGCACTGCTACATGCTACGCACTCTTGTCATACAGCCCATTGCACAGTCCAACTGTTTCGAGCCCTGCACTTTCTATATTCGGCAATTTGTATGTGGCAGTTCGCCTTGCGTGGGTGTACTAGGTAGCTTGGAAGCTTCAGTCAGTCTCAACAGGAGATTGGCCCAATCGTGACCAACAATGGAAAAAGACAAAATGAATAGAAGAGAAATGTAGGAGTGATAACGGTAGATGAATGGGTCTGTCGACGGTTATCCAATTCAACTTGAACATAAGGATCGTAGAAAACTAACAATCTTTAGAAGTATTCCTGACAAAATATTTGAGCTCAATGGGATATTGGGATAGCTCTAACGAACTGTGTAACCAAATCTCGCGATGCTTTCACTAAATTTCGCCGTTTATAGGCCCCAACACTATACCCCTCTCGCGCTGAAGGACAGGGTCTACAATGCAGTTGTCCGTTCAGTTTTGCCATGCGGTTTTGAAACCTGAAAAGTTAGAGCAACAAGCATAAGAAGTCTACTTACGTTAAAGCATCGGTGCTTTTGCAGTTCAGCTAATGTTTGGTAAAAACACTGCGTGAACAATTCGCTTGTTCAGCGTTTCGTACTTAGTGCAGGAAAATCAGATGAATTACCACACAATACCAGGGTTCCTTACAAGGTGTATCGCGGCGCACATTGTGACTGCGCGTCGCAATAAAATCCCACAAAGAGTACTTCAAGATGACCCACAATCAGTCATTAACCGATGTGAAAATCGTTACTGAACAGCCTCTACGTAGTGCAGCTATATGGTTCGGGTTTAGCACGTTCTGACAAGTGCTACGGCGGCAGTGTTCCAGGAGGTGGTGGGTTTTCGCCTGGCAAGCGTTTTCCCTATAAAAAGCCGCATATGTCTGCTTAACAATGCTGTGACGTGGTGAGTGTGACTTTCCATTAAATAAACTCACTGCCCCTGAATCATCTCGGTGGAGCACTAGACACCAGCAAAGTGATGCAGAAATTGTGAGGAGGATTAGGCTCCGTTTGGAAACCGACTAAACGAACTGCTTGCGAATTGAGCAATAAGTCCCTGGCTATCAATGGGTGCGATTTCCTGAATTGGCTCCGCTGCCTAGTGGGTAGTATATTCAGCCCAAGGCTCGGGATGGTATACCCTAAGACAACTACTTACCTCGGCTTGAGTAGTCGAGTAGTATTTTGTCCTCCGACGAAAGTGCAAACTTCTCTGCTTTCCGCTCGCGTCTGTAACCGTTTTACGGTTGGTAACAGAGAAGATCACAGCATTTGCTGCACATTTGGCAGTGTGTGTGTGTGCCTCAACAGTCTATTAACTAGACATAGAGCCAGCAAGAAACCACGAAGATCAGCAGATAAACAAGATTCGTCGTGCTTTTTAACCATCGTGGCACGCTAGTTGAAGGTGAGCAACACACTTCAACTTCAAGGAAGAATGGAACATTTTGACAAAAAGTAGAACAAAACACTTTTAGTTTGTTTTCCACAAGCCGCTTTTGCTCTTTTTTGTCATTTCAATCTTTATCGCATTAATCATGTGAATCAATACAGTACTGTACACAATTCTTCCATTGATTCCGGTTGCGGGCCATATCTTCAAGAGTGCTAAGCCATTGGCACTCCTCATCTTTTGGTCCCCATCCTAGAAGACGTACTAGTCCGACAGCGCCTAGACACGACGTCAGCGATTTCATGTGCTGCTGCTAAGTGGAAGGCTGACCACCACGCGGTCGCCTCCAGCCAGGTCCTTGACGAGCGAATAGAGCGCGACGCGGTAGACGCTCAGGTGCCATGCGTAGGACGTGACCGAGCCATCTCAACTGGTGCAACAAAACCAGTTTCTTGAAGGGAATACTCGCATTCACCAAGATGCGACGTCGAACCTCATTACTATTGACTCTATGTTGCCACCAAACACGAGCAACCCTCCTTAAGCAACCGTTATCGAACGCAGAAAGACGACGCATGTCTTCCACGCGAATCGGCCAGGATTCGCACACATACAACAATACTGAGCGAACTGATGCGCTGTAAACGCGCCTCTTTAGTGAGAATGAGACGTCGCGACGACTCCACAAATGCCTCAGATTGACAAATGCTGATTGAGCTTTAGCGATACGAAGTGAAACTTCTTTGTTGATAGTGCCGTCAGCAGAAACACAGCTCCCAAGGTAGACGAAACTATCTACTTGTTCAAGTTGTGCACCTTCGACAGTGAGTACGGGAGCAGGTGAAAGCCAATCCTTGAGCAGTACTTTACACTTCGATGGGCCGAAGCTCATGCCATACTTAGATGCTTCAACCGCCAAACGATCCAGAATGAGTTGCATACCCTGAGGATCGTCACCAAGTAAGGCGATATCATCAGCATAATCTAAGTCGGTCGCGCGCTCACCCGGTAGAAGCTCCAAGCCAAAATGTTGGAAACTTTCTAGAGCATTCGACAGAACGTCTTCGATTGCGAAGTTGAAGAGGAATGGGGACATAGGGCAGCCCTGTCGCACACCGCTATTGACAGCGAATTGCGAGGAAAGCTTGCCATAGACCCACACTCTGCCGGATGTATGAAGGTAAAGTGCTCGTAAGATGGCGGTATATTTCTCTGGCACTCCGTTCTTTAGTAAGCAACGCCATAAAGCCGGGTGATCAACGGAGTCAAAAGTGGCACATATGTCTAGAAATGCAATGATAGTGGGCCTGTGATATATGTGGCGATGTTCGAGGAGCTGGCGGAGCGTGAAGCTTTGATCCACGCATCCGCGGCCAGGACGGAAACCAGCTTGTTCTTCACAGTAGTATGATTCACGTACTGGGGATAGCCTGCGAAGCAGAATGGATGCCAATAGCTTAGAGGCAACCGAAATAAGACTAATCCCGCGATGATTTGCACATGAAATCCGAGCGTCTTTCTTGAAAATCGAGACAATAACTGATTCTCCCCAAGTGGAAGGCACTTTCTCTTCATGCCAAATTTTTGCGAACAGCGCGCTCAGCTGGTTAATGATCGCCACACCGCCGTACTTGAATAGCTCCGGAGGAAGTCCGTCTAAGCCGGCAGCCTTGAAGCGCTTCAAGCGTCGAATCTCGAGGCAGACTTCCTCTTCGCTGGGTGGATTCAGAGGGACGAGCCATGGTGGACAACAAGGTGTACTGCATGTATTGATGGATGGTAGAGGCCACTTGAACTGCGAGTGAAAGTGCTCGGA